GAGTTCTATGGCGAGAGGGCGGTCCCGACTTTCTCCCGGACTCCGAGCTTCTGCATCCATGATTGGATGAGCTGTCTGAGGCGAAATCCTTTTTTGATTGACAGCTAAACAAGCGAATCAGCGATCTTGAAGAATAAAACATCTACCAGAGCATTTTCCAAGTTATTCATTCCGTTGTTCTTAACTGCTCAAGAGACTTTACCGATCCTCAGCGACTTCTGTCTTTGTTAAAAACGACTGCCGTTGTGTTTGGCGACTCTGTTCTGTTACATACTAATAAACAAATACAATTATGATGTAGGCCAGAAAAATGAGCTTCCCCTCCTTGAAAGACCAGCAGCCGCCACTGTAGTGGAGGCATGGACATCAAATGAGGGTCGATTTAAAACTTACTGTAGCACGATCTCCTCCTTTGTTCTTCCTGGTTTCCTTGTTTACATTTCGAAGATCGTGCTGCTTTTATTCAAGGTGACATGCAGTGACCTGTCAATCAAATAACCCACCGCCGGTGCAGGAAACGCCACAGTGGACGCTACATCATCATACGCCCTGCATCCTGTATCTAATTCATTCACTTTAAGTAGTTAGCTCAGAGTTAAAGCATCAGTTTTGTTCTTTTATTTGTCCGATAACTCGCTAATTAATCAGCTGTGTGATTGCTAACGATAGCTCGCTAATGCTAATACTCTGCACATGCGAGCTCCACTGCACATATGTACTGATACACACGAGTCTGAAGTGTGGCTGCTTTTATTTTACCATGGCGGTGCGCCACGATCGATTGCATATAGGGGAAACGCTGTTATCTAGCGCATTGTCTTACTCAGTGATGTAAACAAACACTGCTGCCAGCATTATGCCAACCACAGCCCACAATGCATTGCGACATAATGTGCCTTTTTGGTTGGTTGTGTGGCACTGAACAAATGTTATTTATTGTTACTTGACAGTCATTGTAACTATGAGTTAGGTGAGCACCTGATCAGGGAGGAAACCTTTCAGTCTGGTTCACCCACAGGCTGGTTACTCAAAAATGGTAAACTGCGGTTCACAGTATGTCGCCCAGCACTAAGTGAAGGCTTTTGGCTCACTGTTACTTACAGTTGACTTTAAATTATCTAAAAAACAATGTGAAGTGTTTTGCGAATGTAGAATCTTGAATAAATAATTGAATTAAATACTAAAAGGAAAAGTTTTTAATTTTTATTTTGGTTAATTTCATCGTTATATTAATCCGTTATTAAAAAATAATCGTTAAATTAATCAATAAATTAATCGATAGATTAGTCGGCTAAATAAAAAGATTATCGTTAGATTAATTGAGCCCTAGTGAAGTTTATTTTTGGGGGAAATATGGCTCCTGGAATAGTCAGTAGACAATCATAATCTGTTTCACTGGTGTTACAAATGCAGACTAAAAATAGAGAAAACCGACATTATTGTAGAATTTGAATTTAAATTGAATCGGCATCCAGAAAATCGTAGAAGAGTCGAATCAGGAGAAAAGCGTATCGTCCCAGCCCTAATAGACAGACAGATAGACAGATAGATAGCAGCACAGATGTGAGTGAATCCTGTCCTGTAATCCGCGCGCTGGCAGCAGACCTAGAGAGAGCATCTTAAAGTTTCAGAGTTCTACATTACTGAAGATGAACTTCTTGTCATTAGTAGTTGTTGTATTTCTGGTATTTCACAGCTGTCGTGGAGCTCAGAGTGAAAATTGAACATCTTTGACTGTATCTTGAGTGGGAATACCGTCAGTTAACACCCGGCTCAGGTGTCACAATCAGAGCCTTCAGGGTTAACTCCGAACGACAACACGCGGCTAACGCGCCAACACCTCGCCGAGTGTTAGCTCCCGCCAACTGACTCTGTCCCATGTTAGATTACTTCTCGGTTTATTTCTGGATCAGTTTATTATCACCCACCAGCCGACGTGTGCAGATCACAAACACAGGGAGGAGAGGAGGAGGAGGGGGGAGGAAACCTGAGCCGGTCCAAGTCTGAGCTGCCAGGAGAGGAGATGTCTGTGCATTACTGCTGCGCTGCTATCGTGTCTTCATCCTGACACCGAGCGTACTCACTGGGATCACATCATACAGAGCAGGTAAGGACACAGAACGTCTGCTAAGAAGCAGCAATCTGCAGCTGAAATCTATTGCTTTGAAAAAAAAGTGATAAAACTCACTGATTTGGTCGTCTACTGCCTCAGATTTGCAGTTTCGTGATGGTGGTTGATTTGGCGCTGCAGCACTCACACTGTTTTTGATGCTATTGCCAGCTGCGGTTACTGCCATGTTGGGATACTAACTTTAACAGGTAACTTAAGGGTGGTGTAGGCAGGAATCCGTTAAAGAAGCATCTTTTTTTTGTGCTGTATTTACAAAAAAAAATTATATCAGTCAATATCTATTAGTTATTGATGACATTTGGTAATTTAACGATATCGCTATGTTTTCTCTCGTCTGTGTAGTCAACATTTTAAGATTTTTGAGCAGAGGCTAATTCTGACTGTAAACAAAGCTGTTCTCCACCTACCCGACCTGATTGGTTGTGAGGCAGACGCTGCTCCCCCGTGTCGTTCATGAGCCCAAACAAAGTTAGCGTGCTACAATATCGGACAGTAGAAACCAACCAGAAAGTTCAGAAAACTGTCTGAATCCTCCTTTGGCCACGACTGCCGACACAAGCAAGAAAACAAAGTAAATACCAGAGACTCTGGAGGAATAACGGGCGCTTAAAAAGGAGGTAGACCAGACAAGAGCTAAAAAGCCGGGTCAACAAAGATGCTTTGGGACGCTTCTGGATCTTACGAACCCTGTAACCTTCCTGTTGGACAGGTAAACCGCTTAAAGTATCATAAATGTTCTTCCTTGAGCTGCGACACCCCGCTGTAGTCTGTAATGGACTGGCCTGAGGTCTTGCTACAAACAAGCAGCTGCTGGAAGAGAGTAGGTGAGTTGTGTTTAGTCTCTTTGCTAAAGAAATTAGTCAAAGTTAAAAAGATGTTTGGTGTCTAGTACTATGGCTGTGACCCTATATGTCCTGTTGATGAAGTTGGCTCTCTGTATTGCTATCCTACGGTCGTTACTAAAGTTGGTATAACTAGAGAAGCAAGCGGTCGCCAACATTCATCTCTGGTGTTACGGTGTGTTTGACCCTAAATGAATTTTACACCAGAATATCCCTTTAAGGATAGTACTTAACCCACTCAGGGGCTTCAGTAGACCTGTACCACCACGTCCACCAGATTTGATTCATCTCCACACTAAAGGCTCCAGTCTGACACTCTTTGTCGTCCAGTGGTTCAAACCTCTATCCCACCCCTTACTCTGTCCACACCGACCATCCAGCTGCTCTTCACAAAGGCTGCTAATGGCATGGAGCTATAAGTGTGTGTACGAGTGTGTGTATGTGTGTGTTAGAGAGGACAGGGGGTTACAAGTCTGCACACACAGTCCTCACACAGGGAGCCCATTTCCAAATGTCAAGTGTTTGGGAAATAAATGTCAACTAGCTCAGGGATGTGAAATCAAAGGGCTCCTTAGTGCCAGCTGCAGCCGATACCACACAAATAAGGAAACGAGGAGGAAGAAAAGACTTTATTGATGCGTTTTTACTTCTCACACTTGGAGAAAACTTGAATCCACATGAGGCGTGTAAAGACAGCAGTCGGCGCCTCGGTCTTTGGAGAGGAATCTTTGGCATTGATGGACCGTCAGACTGCCCGCCTCGTTCTCATAATGTCAGCTGAATCAATGGGGGACGCTGCGAGACCATTGTGACACAGTTTCTGCGGTGGCAGCCGTCCAAGAATATCTGACTTCATTCAGTTTTCAAACAGAGACTCTCGAGTCGGAACATCTGATCCTTAGAGCTCTGTCTGTCTGAGTCGATGTGAACAAAACACTCGCTCTCTGCTGGCGTCAGATCAACACGAAACCGTTGAAGAAAACTGGAATTAGCCAACCCCAGACTCATTTATTTACATTTTTAGGGGGTCCTATTAAGTCAGTAAGTTTTAGGGCCTGATTTACTAAAGGGTTGATCACAAATGGCTGCTGTTGGAAAACCATTTGGTGGTCGTTTTGGCGCTGTGTGCAGGTGCTAAATCCGGTTTATGTCGTCTTCATGTGAATTTTTTAATTTTGTTCCACTCATTAGTGTCTGTTCTGGATTTTCCCTTCAAGATGGACATGAAGAGACAGATGTGCAACAGTGTGACGTATATTTAAAGGGACAATGTCACATTTCTGCCTGCAGGGGTTTTCTCTGTCAATCCTCTGCCTCCTCGCTGGGTGAAGCCACGGCGAGAACAGCACCCTCTGGTGACGGGCTGCAGTATAGCTCATAAATCCCGCCTCCTCCAGCAATCCCTATGGAGCTGTGGACAAACTTTAGGAATTAATGACACAGAATATAAATGTTTCTCCCTCCTGGTTGTGATGTTGACATGTAGTTACTGTCAGACTGGTTTGTGCTCAAGTCCTCTTTTTTCTGTGCAGCTCCATTTTTTAAAGTTATCAGGGGGTTCATGTTTTTTATGATTGACACTCGATACAGCTTATCGGCGTACGAAGATTGCGTAGCTCACCTGGGGGATGTTTGAGCCAAGCATCATCACAAACTTGGCGACACTTTTGCTGAATGCGTACAACGCTACTGCGTAATGTTGGTTTCAGGAAGTGGAGAAAAAGCGCAGAACTTCAAATCCGTATACTGGCTGAAGGCGGAACCAAGTTGTCCTCATCTTGGATCCCTTTTGCCCGGTCATTCATGGTTATTGCCAGACCAGATGCTGTGATGACTACCTCTCTGATGTTGCCCGTGCAGCAGAGACACACCTCGCAAATCCCGCACAATCAGTGGCAATCCATCTTCAGAAGTTACAGACTGTTTTTAGTTCATGTATGACCAGTGGAGTCTCTCCAAACTCAAAGTCTTAGAGCGTCTGTTTTCGCTTTGTGTTCGTCTAATATCTGTTTTTACGAGAAGGCGTCATGTTTGAGCAGCAGGCGAGGGGTGTTGTTCTTTACCTGAGACGAATGATTCAGTACCGAAGAAGCAGGGAGACTTCCACTTGTTGCCGTGGTTACAGAGATGCCAGGCAGGGTACTGGGCATGCAGATGCACAGCGCTTTACGCCACTTCCTGCCTTTGGTTCCTCAGACGGTACACGTTGGTTTCACACCAGGGTTCACCTGGACGTGGACTCGAGTTCCCTTGTTTGGTCCGCACTACCGGACTATCTGGGGGAACGGACCCGGGCTCGGCTCGTGTTGTTTACAAACCAACAAATATGAAATTTGTTTTGGTGCAATTCTTGGTGCAGCTCGTGAACCTGGTCAAACTTCACAAACTCCCCCCACAGTTTTTGCTCAGCTCTGTAAGATCTTATGACTTCATGATCAAAGATCCTTCAGAGGAAAGAAAGTCTTGATAATATTAAGTCGAGACCTCCAGTTTGATCTCCTGACTCATTTCAGTTTCATTAAAGGTGCGTCTTTGTGCGTAAATGTATTATTTGCTTCTTGAATAACTTCCTTATCATTACGACCGTGCTTTGTGAATTAATCCACATCTGACTTGTCACTCTAATCTTTTCTGAAAAATGAAGCTTCGGGCCACTTTCATGTTCTTCAGAGACGAACTCAAAGACTTAAAGAAGTCTCCGAGCAGTAAAGCGCTCAGTCAAGAAACACCAAACTGCCTGGAATCAAACGTAAATCAAGGTTTCTGTGTTTTTACTCGGAGCAGTGCAGCGCCGCAGAGCTCATTAAAGTTTTACTGCCGGCTGCTGCCGAACGAGGGTGTAATAAAAAACACTTTAAGAAAAATGAAGGAGACACCCTGAATTTAAAACCGGCGCAGCCTCAGAGTCGAGCAGTAAAGGTAACCAACAGGTGAGTAAATACCGACTCATTTATCACGTGTAGTTGTTGCCCAAACTCTGAAGGGAATACTCTCATTTTTGTGGTAAATCTTCTTTATTTTTGAGCAATTATGATCCAAATGACCAGAATGGACCAAAAGGTTGCAAACACACATAACACATTCCTGTTTGTTGTGAAGCGATAGCAGTTTTATTCCATTTAAGGTTCGTTTTTAAAGGTGTTTTTTAATCATTTAACACGCTCATTATTCTCCTTATCCTCAGGTATTTGTTTTGTTTCAGTCCTCAGGGTTCACCTCCGCTGTCACCCGTCTGTCATGCTCTATTTCCAGTCTAATCCCATCACAGCAGAGACCTCTGCACAGCCTGTGTGGTGTGTCTGAGTGCAGAGACTCTCGGCAGGACGGCAGCTCAACTCTGCCCTCTAAGGTGAGAACGATGGTAACTCTGCAGCTCCGTCTGTGTGTGCTGCAAACACGCTCTCACGCCTGAGTAACACCACTTCACATCTATCCGTACGCTACCAGATATGAATAATTATGTCATTTTATTTCATTAAAACTAAATTAGGATTCATGTGGACAGTTTTTGCAGTGGAAAAAAAGCCCCTGTAGCTTCTTTCTCTGTGATTTATCTCAGGCAGCAGAATCGCTGTCTCTGAAAGGGCTGAGTTTAAAAAATCAGACAAATAAAACTCAGCCTCGCAGGAGAAAAAGGAGAGTTTGCAGAGAGAAATTGGTTAAATGGCGTGTATTTTTTTTTTGCATCTGAGGGGAAATCTTTCAGGTAAATATCACGCAGCTTGGGAGAATCACTGAAAGCAACATTTTTTTATGTTAGTCTTACGAAGAGGAATAATTTAATACTGCATTTATCAGGGACTGGGTGCAGTTTAATCCTGTCAAAGACAAGGATGAGGAGTTTACATCTTACAGTCACGTCTGTAGTTGGATAAGTTACCAAGAATATAAGAATCCCTGACATTATTCTATATTTAAAAGGACCCCGATCTGCAGCCTGCACAAAGTGTCTCGGTGTGCATTGGTAGTATCACTCAGTATGTTTACATGACACTGAAGAAAACCGAAATATTGCCTTACTCTGATTTTGACCGAAAAACTGAAGTACACGTAAACACCTTAGTCTGACTAAAATCGGAGTTTGAGAACTCTGATTGGAGTCGGAGAACTCTGATTAAGACACCCAGATAATGTGATTGGAATTCAATTTTCTCTACCATGTAACTGGCGTAGTCGGAGTATGATGGACACGCCCCCGTAACTCTGGAACAAAAACACCAGAGGAGAGGAGTAGCGTTCGTCTCATCTGCAGGAAACGTAGCGCGTACTTCGTATACGACAAAAACAACGCTTTACAATGCTCCGTCTTCTTGCTCGAAAATTCCCAGCAGCAGTTGTAGACACTTCTGACGGACCTGCTGTTGTTGTTGACGGTTGTATGGGGTCGGAAAAGGCGCAGCTGAAAAGACTCATATCGCCCCCTAGTTTTGGGGAGGAGGACACGTTCACGTCAGTAATTTAATTTTCTCAGCTGCGTGTATACGAGGACAAGGAGGGAAGTCTGATTCTGCAAAAAAAAAGAATTATGAGCCTAGACCGGTTAAGGTACTGTCAAAAATCTCCTGGAGGCTGCACTCCTGGTAAAATCATAGGAGTGCAGCCTCCATGCACCCTCCAGGAGATTTTTGACAGTACAGAACTGAAACAGGGTATTAAAGTCATTCATGACCCAAGTCATGCTTTGTACAAGGAATTCATACGACTGCCAACAGGCAGACGATATAAGGAGCCACCATGGAGGCTTAATAGGTTTAAGCTCTCATTTGTCCTGTTAGCAGTTGAAGCACTTAATAACAGATAGCTATAACTAGAACAGAACAGTACTGGTAGAGTTTGGTACCACGCTATTGTAATGATGTTCTTTTTTGTCACTGTATGTATTGTCTGCTCACCATGTATTGTGGTATTACTGTATTGTGTATGAATTGAACTTGGATTGGTGTATGGTGTATGAATTGTATGTACAACAACGCTGTACCTTGTAATCCCAAGACAAATTTCTCCTCGGAGACAAATGAAGGAATTGATTGATTGATTGGTTGATTGATTGATTGATGTAAATGCACTGACTGTCACTTTTTACACTACTTTACACTTGACGCTAAATTCACCTGTGCACAGAGTTTGACGCACAGAAAGCAGAAGGTCTTCACCGATGACGTTTACATCAGCATGTGCAGAAGCACCGGTCTGGTCTGTTTAGGAGGCTACGCACCATCAGGGCCGGATCCACCAGGGTCAGAGACAGAAGCTGTCAGACTGCTAATGATGAAAACTCAATCCTCCTCCTGTTGACTGAAGGACATGGCTTGGTGCCGCTACACACAAATGGAAAACATCTTCCTCTCAGACTAGATGTCGGTCACTTTTTTATCATGAATCAGTAGCATTTTTTTTGTAAAAGCACTTTTCTCTTCTAATTACTTTCTCTTGGAGAAAATGCAAACTGCTGCTGTACACCTGAAACAGTGATTGAGCGTCTGTAGAAGTCATTAAGTTTGTAACTGCAGGTAATCGCACACCCGCGGTCTCTCCACCTGTCTAAGGCAGGACGCACTTCTCTCATCCTCCTCTCCCTGTGGATGATGACTCACTGTTTTCAGACTCTCTTACACTCTCATAGACACTGCAGTTCGTTTTAATTCTCCCTCTGTGCGGTGGGAAGTCACGGTTTCTCAGCTCTTACATCACGCTGGTTATCCTCTCACCATCACCAGAGAGTCAAACATCAATATTTTTCGGGCTTTAATGCTGTTGGTCATCTGGGAATTCAGCCAAAGAAACCTCCACCATTCTTGTTGAGAAAGCTGACATCAGAGGCCCCACCCCTTCTTGATTCTGATTGGTCTGCATAGGGTGAGTGACATAGATGATTGCTGATGCTGCGTTCCAGTTACCTCGGAAGTCGAATGTCGGAGCCGGGAATGACGTTATACCCGCACCAGACCAGGATGGATGCTAACAGACAAATTTCGTGGAAATAAACCAACATGTCGATAAAGTCGGTATTCTTCGGGTCATAATCTGATCTCTAAACGACCTTGACAGGCTTCTTATGAAATCTGAATCAGCTGGAGCTTAACTCTGAGCTTCCTCTGGATGGATTTCTCCAAGGCTGGGCTTAGCTTCTTCAGCAGGTTGTGTTGGAAATCTGGTTCTTTCAGTCTCCATCCAAAGTTCATGACTCTATGTGAAGAAAGCCGGTCCAGAGCAGTCAACCAGCCAACCCATGATGCCGCTCCAACACATCTGTTAACTTGGCGATCCATTTTACCGTCGCCATCAAGATACCTACCTGAACTCCCTCACCTCCCATCTGGAGGGACCAGTTCAGGTTTTCAGCAGGGAAGAGGTCCTAATCCTAATCCGTACCAATTTGTACCCAATACCTGCTGCAGGTGTCAGCCTTTAGACGACATTAGGAACACATCATCTGCATAAAGTCGACACTCTGAGGCCTTCAAGTTTGAAGCTCCTCCTCTCTGTGGCTGTTCTGGATTTGGACTATTTGAAACCGACATACCTGAAGGTGAAACGTGACGACACGTAGGGATCATGTGGGAGTGTTTCTTTAGGTGAAACTGAGGAATTCAGTGCAGGTTGTGACTCACACTAAATCTTTCATTATTTCTCCCCTCAGGTTTGTCAGCTGTTTCCTGTTTCTGAGGGTTTCCTCCGCGCTCGCAGAGTTTCTAATCCAACACTTTCCCTCTTCTTTCATTCCTCCACACCTCCAGTCTCACCTTGATCTAAACGCTGCTATTCTGAGCCGACTGATGAGGAACCGGGGCCCACAGCGGAGAGAGACAGGTACTGTGACACCTACACATCCGCCGAGCGCACGACTGTTTTGTTCTCAGTCATTAATTTTTAACAGCCCAAACTTCTTGTAAAGTCTTTGCAGGTAAAGCTGTAGGTGACTGTCTTTAATGTCTGAGGCTTTGTAAAATGCAGCTTGCTGGAAAGTGATTAAAAGCTAACAGAGTTGAAAAGTTGGAAATGTGCTTTCTCTGAGTCTTTTTTAACGGCTGTGCTGATGGAGCCAAAATGAAGCTGAATTCCAGTCATTGCAGGTAAAGATTAAAGGATTTATTGTTTTTTTATTGCAAAACATCCTCCACTTATCGCATTTTGATTTTTACATCTGACACCCAAATTGTGTAAAGCAAATGAGCCCACATTAGCTCCTATGGTTATTTTGGTCTTGGGGAATCGCTGTGTTTTCAGTAAAGGGCTGATCCATGGATGCCAGAAGATGAGGACACAGTGACACTGTCTTTACAGGGCTTCACGTCAGTGCTGCACGGATCTTAACCTACAACCTGAGGCA